TTGAGGGGTCCTCAAAACTCATTAGTCATTGCGTTCCCCTTTCCTGCTATAGATACATACACGTGAGCACTTATGTCTTATTACTACAAAAATTGATATTGTTCTTAACTTAATTTCCTGCATAATCTAGTTAGTGGGATGTTATTAATGAGGAAACCAGTCACTTATATTTTATTTTATTTTATCATGTTTCTAATAATATTTTTACATTCTTGAGCAGTAAGTTCTTTGGCAACAATGTCATGAAGTAAAATTTCCAGATGCAAATGCACATAAATAAATTCATATTTACTATATTGCAAATGCTGCCACACAACACATGAATCAAAATTTCTTTTAATATCGTTGCAATTGTAGGGGGCCCACGACATTTTCGTCCGCATAATTTGAAGTCTTTCTCAAGCTACCACGTATGTCCTAAAGTAAATATCAATCAAGCTCCCATTGGCTAGAGCAATGACAATGGCATTAGCATTCTGGGACCTTGCGTATCCAATTATCTGTTTGATCAATCAATGACCTACAAAGCCTTGGAGAAAATATTATAGAGTACGAAACTATTTTCACACTTACTTACTACATTGTTGGACACTATATTTCCTATTGTGAATAAATCTTACATATGTGAGATATGAGGTACATAAACATAACTTTAATGTCACCTTAATGAATTTGACCCAAAAAAAAAAAAAAAAAAAAGTAGTCATCTAATAATGGATGAAGCGATATTATTTGTACCATATTTATCGACTGCATTGTTGACATATCTGTCCCACTAGTGAGATACATTTGATTTGTCTGTTGCCACCTCTACACCTCTATATGTGAGGTACATGTGACGAGAAAAATGTCAAGGTTGATATGGAATTAATGGTTTGGATGGAAATTGCCTATATTTATGTGCCCTTTGTTGCCACCTCTACACATAGTGAAAAATCACAGAACAAGTACCTTTTGGTTGGAAACATCTGCAAGTGAAAACAATGCCAGAAGCTTCATAGAAACCTTTTAGTAATTTAGATTAACATATAAAATACCAGATAGAACAAATCAATTTAATTGCTGGGACCAGTTTCCATGCCTAATGTTTCAAACCTGTCTCTTTCACCAGAGAAGAACAAGAATGGGAGAGAAGAAACAAACGTCTTCCTCTTATCCTTCACACAAATTCATTGGCTCCAGAAGAATCATCACAACCATGGCAGTTTCTCCACCTCAGAAATTTCACAGCCAAGCGAACAAAAACCCTTATCTAATTCCCCTTAGTTTCAATCTCCTTCCCACCCATTGCACCAATTTCAACTTACCCTTTTTTATTTTCTTCTCTTTCTTCAGCAATGGCAGCTGAAAATTCATCAGGCACCAGGAGAAATTCCAACACTCAACTTCTGGAAGAGCTGGAAGCGCTCAGCGAGTCGCTTTACCAATCCCACACTTCCAGTACTAGCACCCGAAGAACTGCCTCCCTTATTCTTCCTCGAAGCTCAGTTCCTGCGATACCATCGAAAGATGAAACTGTTCCGACTAGTGCTGAGGAGATTAGGCTCAATAACAAACCCCGAAGGCGCATGTCTTTGTCCCCGTGGCGCTCCCGCCCAAAGCTTATCAATAATGATGATGAGAATGAGCAAAAAGATCGAGGCAAGAAGGCGACGAATAATAATTTGCCGGGGTTGAGAAGCTTGGATGACAAGGTGACTGCCACCACAGAGAAAAAGGGTATCTGGAACTGGAAGCCGATTCGCGCTATCTCCCACATTGGAATGAATAAGGTCAGCTGCTTGTTCTCTGTTGAGGTTGTCGCTGCACAAGGCCTTCCAGCTTCAATGAATGGCCTTCGGCTTTCTGTCTGCGTTCGGAAGAAGGAAACAAAAGATGGAGCTGTTCAAACAATGCCGTCAAGGGTTACACAAGGAGCTGCTGATTTCGAAGAGACCCTTTTCCTTCGGTGCCATGTGTATTGCAGTAATGGCCATGGGAAGCAGCAAAAGTTTGAGCCAAGACCCTTTTGGATATATGTGTTTGCAGTTGATGCTGAAGAGCTTGATTTTGGGAGGAGTTCTGTGGATTTGAGTCAGCTTATTCAGGAGTCCATTGAGAGGAACAATGAAGGTCAACGAATTCGACAATGGGATACGAGTTTTAAGCTGTTAGGGAAGGCAAAAGGAGGAGAGCTTGTTTTGAAATTGGGGTTTCAGATTATGGAGAAAGACGGAGGAATTGGAATTTACAGCCAGGCTGATGATTTAAAGTCTGTTAAGTCCAAGAATTTCTCATCTTCTTTTGCTAGGAAGCAGTCAAAAACATCATTTAGTGTGTCCAGTCCAAAATTGTCAAGCAGAGGAGAAGCTTGGACTCCTTCACAAGCAGGAAAAGCAGCTGATCTTCAGGGGATTGATGAACTGGACCTTGATGAACCGAACCCAGTTCCAATATCATCTTCTTCATCTTCTTCAGCTCCGAAGCCAAAAGAACCAGAAGTACCAAAGACAGAGGATCTTGATCTGCCAGACTTTGAAGTAGTGGATAAAGGAGTTGAATTCCAAGACAAGGAAGAGGAATATAGGGAAGAGCAATCAGAAAAGTCTGTTGGGGAAAAATCAGCAGCATCGCGTGAGGTTGTGAAGGAAATTGTGCAAGATCAAGTGCATATAACAAGACTGACAGAGCTTGATTCTATTGCTCAGCAGATTAAAGCTCTTGAGTCTTTGATGGGAGAAGAAAAAACCGACGACATGGATAATGAAATTGAATCACAGAGATTGGAGGCTAATGAGGAAAATGTAACAAAGGAGTTTCTTCAAATGCTTGAGGAGGAGGAGATCATCAATGAATATAAAATGAGCCAAAATGATGTTCCTCCTTTGGAGCTTGAAGGAGCAGAGGAATCTGCAGAAGCTGAATCAGAGGTGTACCTTCCTGATCTTGGGAAGAGCTTAGGCTGTGTGGTTCAAACCAGGGATGGAGGGTACTTGGCAGCCATGAACCCATTAGATACTTTGGTAGCAAGGAAAGACACTCCAAAACTTGCCATGCAGATATCAAAACCATTTGTTTTACCATGGGATCAGTCCATGAGTGGATTTGAATTGTTTCAGAGAATTGCAGCTATTGGACTTGATGAACTGAATTCTCAGCTTCTAAATTTGATGGCCTTGGATGAACTGATGGATAAAACGGCAGAGCAGATTGCTTTCGAAGGCATTGCTTCGGCGATCATCCAAGGGAGAAACAAAGAAGGTGCTAGTTCAACTGCTGCCAGAACCATTGCTGCTGTTAAAACCATGGCAAATGCAATGAGCACAGGTAGGAAAGAGAGGATTTCAACTGGGATTTGGAATGTGAATGAGAACCCCTTGACAGCAGAGGAGATTCTGGCATTCTCCGTGCAGAAAATTGAGGCCATGGCTCTTGAAGCTTTGAAAATTCAGGCTGAAATAGCGGATGAAGAAGCCCCATTTGATGTTTCTCCATCGAACGGTACAACAAGTGGTGCAAAAGTTCAAAATCACCCACTTGCTTCTTCTATATCACTGGATGATTGGATCAAAAACCACAGCTTGGCCAATTCAGATGGTTTACAAGATGGGGATCAAGATCATCCAGAAACAATCACACTGGCAGTTATTGTTCAGCTGAGGGATCCGGTAAGGCGGTATGAGGCAGTTGGAGGCCCTATGATTGCACTGATTTATGCAACAAGAGCTGATGACACCATTGAAGTAAATAAGTATGAGGAGGAAAAGAAATTCAAAGTGACAAGTTTGCATGTGGGAGGCTTAAAGGTGAGGGCAAGAGGGAAGAGGAATGCATGGGATAGTGAGAAGCAGAGGCTAACTGCAATGCAGTGGCTGGTTGCTTATGGTTTGGCAAAAGCTGCAGGGAAGAGAGGCAAGCATGTGACATCCAAAGGTCAAGATTTGTTGTGGAGCATTTCATCAAGAGTAATGGCTGCTATGTGGCTCAAGTACATGAGAAACCCAGATGTAAAGTTTACCAAATGAACTATATGTATTGTAATATTTGAGTGACATCATTTATTTTTGTAATTTATTTGCAGCAATAACAGATACAAGGAGTAAACAGTGTCAGATTGTAACAGCTCCAAATAGTAAAATATGTGGCACTTGTGAATAACTTCTGAGAAAAATATTAGAAGTCTCGCAAAACAAAACAAGAGAAAGTAACGCAGTTACTGTTCAAATTCAACATATATTGGAACAGCGCAATTGCAGGATTCGAACTCACGATCTCTTCTCTTATTCGAATAATTATTTCATACTATAGCAAATCACGTGTTTTACCACTTCCTCACAAATTTGTCTAAATACTTCGAGAAAAATCCTAAGATGATGATTAGAAGTTGAAAGAGGAAAGTCTAAATTGCAAGATTGTAAGCAATGTAATCGAATGTGATCCTTGATTTGTAGGGAATATTGTCATTCACTCATGTTATTTTAACCAAGTCCAACACGAACGACCCGTTAATCATATGTTTCCTAGCTTATGTTCATGCTTAAGTTAGGCAACATCTATTAGACATATCATATATGGTATAGTATATGTCCTCATCGTATATCATACTGTATATTGGACCATTTTAAACATACCCCTTGCCATGTTTATGTCAATCCGACTCAACTTATACCTTTAATTATTGATGAAGTTGGAGGGAGATTCATGTCTTGTCATTTTCATCCACCGCATTAGAAAACTTTTGAAAACCTACATGGTGGTCCTAACCCTAAACAAAGATCAATGGTCCAATTGATTTGAGCAAGCCAGAACTTGGGACAAATTGAACCAACGAAGGAGACAAGTAAAGAAATTTGGCCTAGTGGCTCTCTTGCCAGGTACATCACATGGATGATGACTTGCACATGGGAAGAATAACTGAGACTCACGACATTTTTAATCCATCATTAAAAACATGTTAAAGACATTTATTTTATTTTACAATTCCATTTTGAGTTTTCTTTACTGGAGGGAACAAGGTCGTATTCAACCATCAAGACAAGTGTTAGACAAGTTCCAGATCCAGAAGAATGGGCCCTTTGCTCCATTGTTTCCCACTTCGTGAACCTAACGTGGGTCTAGCTTTCACATGTTTGGTATGGAGAGGAACTACAAATGAATTTTTTCTTTTTTTTTTCTTTTTTTTTTTATAACGATGAGAAACCAAAGCATATATTTCAAGAACCCTTTTACAACCTGTACTGTTTAAAGAAATCAAGGAAAAACAAAAGAAAAGAAGGCTGAGAGTTGAAAGCCAGATAAAAGCACATTTTTTAGGGGAATGATAAAGTAAAGAATTTGACTCTACCACCCTCAATAATATATGACTTTATGGAGCTTCTACCCACAGATGAGTATGGTGGAGGAAAAGACTTGTGTCACTTTCTGTACAACCCCCTTTATTCCATGGCCCCCCTTCTCTTTGTCAGGGTTCTCATCCAACCCTTCCTTACCTTGACTCCTTCCACCTTGCTGCTCACATGGCACACATTGCCCTTGTTGGACCTCTTCCATCTGATGAGCTGGAACAAGTGCCCTATCCTCTTCCGCCACCTAAGTGGCGCATGGGATTTCCCATGCTCTATCACACTCTTGGTGTCCTTAGCCTCCTTGACCTCCTTAGCTTCCTTAGCTTCCTTGCTGAAGTTGTGATTCCAGGACATGTTGCAATGCTCTAGAGAGACCTTAGACACTCTGTTCTTCTCCCATGAGGCAACTCCATTCTCTTCAAACTTGATTGATATGAACGAGTCTGAAAAAGCCATTTGCATTGTGAATTTGTGATTATGGATGCCAACAAAAATCACAAAAATACACATTCTTTATAACAGTTTTTTTTTTTTTTGGGTAATTAGAAAACTCCCATGACCTACTATCTCATTGAGTATTGAGTATGAGGTCTTAGGATAAACCCCAAATACGCAAACCACATGTACTTAATACTAACAACATGATTAATCAGCGAGTTAGTACATTACAATGGTTACAAAAATGGCCCAAAGGGTCCCTCCTACATTCTAATTTGCCCGAATCTGCATGACCAAAATCAACAGCAAATGTAGTTCAATTACAAAAAAACAAAATGTAACTAGAGTGACTTCTGCATAAATCTATGCAATTAGATTTCATTTCTTTCAAAATGGCGCTAATGATTCTAATTTTCTCTGTTTAAATTATGTGAATATTTGCAAATAGAATATGTTACTCAAATGTAACAACTGCGTTTTCATTCCCTCCAAACTTTACCTTCATTATTATTAATTATTAATAGTTGGCTGGGATGGAAGGAGAGAGGGTTGAGTGCAAGCAAAGAGAGAGGAAAACAAATGGAGGTTAGAACTAAAGAAATAAGGTAATATATAATGATCATACCACCTTTTTCTCTTTAAAATATTTAAAATATCAAATTGAGTTACTTAAAATAATGGAAGTATGGTGAATATTTCAGATATTTCTAAAGGGGTTTTTTTTTTTTTTTTTTTTCCAAAAATAATATAGATTAGAAGGAGTAGTGCCCCTCACTTATTTTGAAGTGAGCAAATGCAATTGCACAAAATCTCATAAAGGAAACTACCATTTACTTCTAAAACCAAAAAAGGATGCATCTTGGTACAAAAGGATGAAGCTTTCTTACACATTCGTCAAACTCATCTGCTTATGGTTTAAACTCAGTGATGGTTTCTTCATAAACACCGTAAAAAATTGTGAATTGATTATTAAACCCCAAAACCCAACTCTTTTTTTACCATCTGACAACCGATTTTTTTATTTTTCATGCTGTTATTAACCAATTTAATTAAGAAAAAAAAAATGGAATCTTGCATCTCCAATCTGCCCATTAATATTCCTGTATGAACATATATATACTTTGACCCTAATTTTGTCATTATTACCCAAAAAGCAACTAATTATGCAAACATAATCAACCAGACCGCCACAAACAAACACACATACAAATCCAAGCACAATGTTTAGGCTTTAACTTTGTTTATATCACCCGGAATTAATATCTCATTATCACTAAAAGCTGCAAGACAAAAAATAAAACTAAAAAGATGAAAACTTTACCACTCACCCAAAAGAAAAACTTACCTTCTTGGCTGGTGGAGGCCTCTTGATCCAAGTAATTTGGTTTCCACTGTCGATTGAGGAAAGAGCTGAAAGCAAAGATCTTGGGGAGGCTAATGGGTGGCTTCTTGTGCATGCCACTTGGAGTTCTATGAGCACTAGCTCTGCCTCTGGCTGAAGAAACATGGTGGCTCTTTTTTGCAGCCAAGATGAGAAGCCTCTCGGTCAAGCAGAGAGAGCAAACACCCACAACCACCTCCTTTGGGTGGAAATAGCAATAGGAGTTGTCTTCTCTATGCCCATTCATGTTAAGGCTGAGAGAATTGGTTTGTTGAGAAGAGTTGAGGGGTTGATTGATGAGAAAGGTGAAAAAGAAAAGCGAAAGGGAAAGGGAAAAAAATTTTGTGACTTGAAAAGAAAGAATAGGTTCTGTTCTGTTCTCTGTTCTGCTCTGCTCCGTGTCCGAGAAGTGGGAATACGTGTTGTGTGTATATATTGTGGAAGTCGTCATTTATAGTTGGGGAAAATTTTAGATCAACGGAGGTGATCATGTGGTTGGCCCACAGATCAATTTGGCCAATATAAAATGTTGGAATTGGATAGCCTAGTATGGGGTACCAAGACATATACACTATTACTAAGCAAACATCTTTCCTTGCTATGTTTTTAAGTGTAAAACTGGCCAAACATGTAAAGTCCTTGAGTTCTTTTATTATTTTTTAATACAAATGATAGTTTAAATTATGGCTGGGCATTTGGACCCCAAACCCGGTCAACCCGCCTAAACCAAACAGATGGGTTGGGTTGGTTTGATTTTTTTTCAATTTTTTTTTGGTCATTAGTTTGAATCCAAACCAAACCAAAATATATGGTTCGGTGTACGATTTGTAATATTTAAAACCACGGTTTAACCAAACCAAACTGAAGATATTAAAAAAAAATTTATATAATATTATTATAAGAAATATATATAATACATAGTTTTAATCTTTTCTTTTTCTTCTCTCTCAATCTCTCCGTTTGTCTTGTCTTCATTAATCCCTCTCTCTCTATTTTTATTTTCTCATTCTTCTTATATATGTCTTCACGCCCTCTCCCCGTCTCCCTCTTCTTCTTCTCTCTCCTTTCTTTTTCTCCCCTTCTTCTTCTTCTTCTCCATCTCTCCCTCTCTCTTTTTCTTCTCTCCTCTCCATTGCTTTTATTTCCTCTCTCTCTCTCTCTCTCTCTCTCTCAGAAAGCCAAAAAATCGAAACCGAACCAAACCAAACCACCAAGTCCGGTTAACCGAAGTGGTCGGTTTTCATCAATTATGGTTTGGTTTCGGTTTTCAAAATAGCCAAACTGAAGCTTATAGTTCGGTGTCGAGTTGAGCCCAAAACCGAACCAACCCAAACTGAGCCCAGCCCTAATCTAAACTATAAATGGGAAAGAGATTTTTCACACACACATTACCAATGTGTTATGAGAATTCAAATCTGAGACCACTCATCTATAAGTCAAAGTCTTTTTCCACTAAGCTACACCTTGTTGGCAGTTCTTTTATTGTTTTTGTATAAAATAGATTTGAATGAAGTGTGAATTTTGGTATTTTGAGATTTTAAGTGTGAATTTTCACATTTTGAGTTTGTAAAACAAATTTCATTCCAGGATTTGAGGTACAAAATCTTCACTCAAAGTTCAAAATACCAAAACTCACGCCCCAAACTTATAACTACCTAAGTCCAAACCAATGCCCCAAAATTCCAAACATAATTTAAAATTCACACCGATATCCTAAATCTAAAAGTCATATCCAATCCCAAAATGTCAAAATCTACACTTTAAACTCTAAAACGTCAAAATTCACGCTTCAAACTCTAAAATGCAAAATTCAAACCCTAATCTACAAAATCCCAAAATCCACACTTGAAGATTAAAAAACTAATGCAAACCCCAGAAAGTAAAAATTCCTCCAAAACTCAAAAGATTCACATCTCAAACTTAAAATAACAAAGTTCACACCTGAAACCTCAAAATTAATGTCTCCAATTCACACCTCAAGCCCAAAAGTAATTCTTCTATGCGCATCTACTTGAGCTAGTGGATTCCCAACAGACTTTTAATCCACATCCAATCCAATGGCTTTTTAAAGTAAACTGTTAAACTTGTGACTTAAAGTTTGGATTGGGTGTTTCTGTTTTTTATCTTTTCTGTTCTGGTAATTAGTCTCTTTCGCTTCAATTACTAAAGTTTCTTATTTTGGTAATAATTTCAACAAAAGCATGGAGAAAATTACTGGCAATGTGGCCTAAGACCATTCTGCTCCCTAGCCTAGAGGAAAAACAAGAACAAAACTATGCAGTCAACTGATGCTGGTGCCCACACGTTCAGTTGAATGATTATATATTTATTTATGGCTAATCGTAATCATGGTATGTATTTTTCCCAAAAGTGAAGACTTAATGCCTAGAATTTGACAAAACCAACCCAAGAAACCCTATAAAAAAACAATTGGATTGGGATGTGAAGTTGGCCACTGGCATGTGAGGTTCAAGTCAAAAAGTGCGACTTCCACTTTATTTCTAACTTTATAAAGGCACACAGCGCAGCAAAACTGGCATAGGATGTAACTAAAGCGGGGGGAAGAGTGCAAAGTGGAGCTGTTTTTAGGTCTTGGTAGGTATTTTGTAGATGCTCAAAGGAAGCTCACAAGATTTGGCAATTTTTTTTTTATAGTGTTTTTTCTTTTTTCATCACGTCTTGGAAAAGGCTGTGGTGTTGTGCATGCCTATCTCCAAGAAGGTTATTTTCTCTACAAATGTAGTCAAGGCCTTGGTATTGCAAATTCCCTTGGAAGACCAGATAATGTACTTACAGAATTTGTGGAAAACAGACATGTTTTTTCTTTTTCAAGATCTTGGCGACATTTATGCACGCCCCCAATCTCCAAAAGCTCACATTCATATGTCGATCCTTACAAGTTTAATTTTGTCCATTTTTTGTGTTTCAAGATAAAATCTCTCATGTACTTTAACAAAACATGTTTACCTTATTGTTCTTAGAAAACCACGCCCTAAAACCTTAAGCGATATATACACCCTCTCGTATGGAGTGACAAATCAACAAGAGAAGAGAGACAAACATATAAATGAGAGCAAGTTGAAATTCGCATAATTTAGTACTTTGAATAAATGTACGTCTGATTGTTGATTGGATGCAACGTCTTTGGCCATTGAAGGACGAATTGCAAATAATTGTTAGATTGTCCGTGCGAAGTAGAAATACCAAACCCTAAGAAAGTGGCATGCGTAAAAAGTGAGATTTTAATCTGGAAATTATGTACACTATGCCTTTTTTTTTTTTTTTTTGGTATGAGATTGGAAGATTTGTTATGAAAATCCTTAAAGGCTTGAAGCTAATACCTTGTAAGGTCGTCGTTTTGCTCTTAGCCTATGGAAAATCCTAAAAGGTTTAGAAGGTGAAGTAAACAAGAAAAGTAAACAAATTTGTAGAAATTTGGGAAGAAAAAAAAAAGGGTAAACAACCAAAGTACTGGGCACATGGGGAGCGGGAAGTGGAGTGGGGCTGCTTCTAGTTTGGCTGCCTCAACTCTCAAGTTGGGTTCATATCATGGACGGTGGACCAGATGTTGGATTAACAGTTCTAGGCCACGTGACATAACATCATTGGTCGAAGATAGCACTACGTGAATAGGATAGCAAAATAATGTTATCTCTATTACAACTAAGTTTTTTTCCTCTTTCTAGAGCATTTCCCATTTTCTATTATTTTTTGTCTGATCCTTCGAGCCCATTTAGACCTCTCATTAAATCTAAATGTCACTTTCCAAACAATGTCTTTTCAACTCTGCCTTTACTTTTCTTTTGTACTAATTGAAATGAGACAATTCAAGCAAGGTCCATAGAGAGTGAATATCAACTCTAACAAGATTCAATGGATCATTGTTGTGAATTTTAGACAACCTGAAAAATGAAAGATTAGTCTAAACACAAATTATACTTGTAAGTGCATAAGGTCAATCGTAATATCGTATGGCAAATACAAGGTCATTCCCACGAGGATTGAGTTCAACTACCAATTAGTCTAACCTAATTTACTTCACAAAATACTTTAACTACTCTAATTATATAAACAAGAAATTAAACACGTAGCATACTCACGTAAACACAAAAGGGGCTTTTGAAAGAATTATTTAATTACCAACGAAATTAAAAGACAAAACAAGTAGAAAGTCACGAAACACAAGGATGAGAAATTCAAATTGATAAAAGCACTAGGACAATGAATTCACCACTAGTAATCTGATCTAGCCTCTTATTCACCTACCTATTAACTAACCATTTGATGTTGCCGCTTAATTTTCCTTTTTCATGAATTACTTATGGTATTTAGGCTAACTTGTATATTCCTACATGTAATTCGCCTATGGTATTTAGGTCAAATATCAACACATAGAAACTTATTAAGATAAGTGAAAACCTCCAACAAGCATGTAAACCCTAGGAGTATGGTATTAAATCTAAACGAATTACAAATCCTAATCATAAGAAGCAAACCTCAAATTAAGTATGGTATTTACTCTCATTTTCATCCGATTAACTCAATTAAAAGTCTAGATGGTGATCAAACGTCAAGATAATCAACCAAGTTATTAAGTGTTAATCTATGCATTTTGAGTTTTTCTTTTGGCTTCCCTTGACAATTTTGTAATAGGATTTATATTGTTTTTATCAAGCTCAAGTTTAGATTAGGAATAGCTTCTCTAGATGTTCTTAACTAACAACTATCCTATGGAGGTTCAAGCAAATTGACAAAGGTAAATTGTGCATTGCATCACATTGCATTAAATTGATTTCATAAAATGATGACTAGTCATCTGTTTCTCGTATGACTAGTCATCCTTGCTCTGTAGGATTTCCAGCTGGATAACCAACTATTTTGTCCTATTCTCCTTTCTCTCTCTGCTGCCATGTGTTGATTCAGACCTAGGAATTTTTGGTAAAAGCCAAAGAATTCCTCATTTGGCAGCAGTCACTTTTGTAGGCAAGTTTTGGAAAGTTTCTCTGTAAACTTTCTCTTCTTCCTCAAGTGTAACCTTCATATTTTTCATCTTTGAGTTTTCCAAATTGTTTCTTTTTGAAAACTGCATTTGAAATATGAAAACCTCATCTTGCTAGATCAAACACTCTCTCATATATATCTAGGTTAGATTCAAGATTGATTTCTTCAAGAGTATAGTTTTTTGAAGAAATTGGTCATTCTCCTTTGAATCCAAATTTTGGTTTCTATCTGAGTTAGAGCTTGCAAGCTGGTGCCATGGGATGAATAAGCTGGAGAATGAGCTGTCATTGCCATAAAGAACTGAGCTTTAAGCTTTGCTAAGTTGGAGAAGAAGATTGCATAAATGAGGTATAGCTCATCTTCCTAAATAGATCTAGGTTTTTCTTGAGTTTGCTTGTGTTCCTTTGTAAGAATTTTTTTCTACTTAGTGGATGTCTGGTCGGTTG